GAGAGAGAGAGAGAGGCTAGAAATAATTTGTAGATAATGAGGGCCTTCCCCTCCTTATATGGGCCTCAGGTGCCATAAGTATGCATATCCAACTATGACTCATCATGACCACTAGGATTTTAGAAAATCTGTGAGGTGAGAGAGGATCAAATTTGAGCCATCTATCAGATGGATTAACAATCGTGATTTAAGGAGGACTTCTTATTCCTTGAATCTTTGAGACTTTGACCCCATATCCACTTGAAGTCAAACTAGGGTAAGACAAATCTAAAAACAATATTCTAGAACTTCCTTTATCTCTCCCAAAAATTGTAGGTAGTAAAAAATGAAAGATTTGGTTAGAGATACAAATGTTATTTCAAATAACAAACTCCCACAAAGTAAGGGCATTCTTTGTCAAAAAAGATTTCCAAACCAACAACAAAAGACCTTTTTTATTTTTTAAAACAAAAGAAAAATAAGAAAGGAGTGGGGTGTGCCACCTCCATGTGTGAGGTGTAGGCCCCATGGGCTCCAAGCCCCACCCATGTGGTATGGCTCACATGTGGGGCTGGATCCAATGGCCCGACATGTGCTCCTACAAGCTTCTCCAAACTCCCAGAATTTCAGAAATGCTCTTTTTAAAGATTTTATAGATGAAAATAATTTTTAAAAAATTCTGAAAAAATTCTAAAAAGTATTAAAACATTTATTACACTGAAAACAAAATATCTGCATGTGGACTAGTACCAATGGGTTAAGAGAAAGTGACTATTAGGGCACTCCACTCGATAGAGTAACCGTGATCCTTGACTATCTTATCAAACCAACCCAATGAGACCAATGACCCATAGTGTCTTGGATGCTCATGATTGGTTTGTGAAAGTTGGTCAATAAATAGTGGAACTATAGTCCCAGAATATGGATTGCAAGTTCCCCCCTAAGAGCATGTTACACATACATATAACTATAGTGCAAGGGGACTCTCTCTATGTACAAGTACACGTATGTCTTTTCAGGGTTGCTTCTTAGTAATGCAGTTGTCCTATGCACATACTGTGCAGAAGTTTGTTGAGGATTTAGCCCTTACTCTTGAAGGTCTACATCCGCACACAAGAGACCAAGAAATTCTCCTAGCCTACAAACCATCGTTGGGAACCTCTCAGACCTCAAGGAGGGATGGCCCTAGGAAAACCGTTTTCAGTTTCACCGTACGTCCAGGGGTAAGGGTTTTGGACTTGACTAGGGCCATAGATGGCCTAGCCTTAGGTCAATCAACTAACGCATACACTTCCACTGAAGTGTGAAGTCCACTATAATTTATATTTACTTGCTCTCACGGCCTTTAGAAGCTACATAACCTCAACAAAAATATCTTTTCATTAAAAGTAAAACTTTTTTCCTTCCTTCTCTTTTATTATTGCCTTTGATAGAGAGAGAGAGAGAGAGAGAGAGAGAGAGAGAGAGAGAGAGAGGAGGGTGGGTGGTGGTAGGTA